ATTCGGTTAACAGGTCATGGCAAGAGAAGGGAAGCTACAGAGCCAAAATTTTAGCAAACAACCTAAAGCTTTCCTGCGCAGCAGCTGAGCTGGAAAAAAATATGAGCTTTATAACCAAACAGACTTCCAATCAAATTCTTGTTCCCCTAACAAATAACTGAATGATATCGAACAAGTTACTTTATTTGCTGATAGGAAACATAATATTTGCCTTACAGGACTGCCATGAGGCTTAAATCAATAAGTGTACCACGTCCACGATATTCACTGAGCCCTCAATATAGGTTCATTTCTACCCACTAACTAAAACCAAACAATTTTATCTTCCTTAATAATAAATAGCAAGCAAAAATTATAAGAGGAACAAATCCCTACAATAAAAACCAATCAATGAGAAGCCTTCTCCTTTTCTTCCCTCAATGGAAATTACAAGAACAAATGTCCTTTGGCTAGAAATTTGAGTTCTTACTTGCATGGGAACTTCAAAGTCTCTTTTCTGGAAATCTGAGAACTGCCACTGAAGAGCCAAGTGGCCCTGGCTGGCCCAAAGGAGAACTTTACTCAGCCTAAACAAAATGACCTGTAGATTCGGGGAGGCCTGGTGGTGGCCTCATGCTAATTAACAGGCAATTACTGTGTCCTCCCATTCTCTCAATATAATTTTAGGCCACAAATTCTCCAAAAATTAATATGTATCCCTGGGATATAGGTGTGTGTATGTAGTATAAAATCAGTCTAAAAGTTAAAAAAAAAACAGTAATAAGATGAGATTACTGCTCAAATTAATAGAAATATCACCCAAGAGAACCATCATGGAATTTCCATACTCAGGCTAGATCTGGGACCCCAAAGCTACCACCCTACAAATGGTCCTGCGACTGCCCCACAATTAAATATCAGTTGATATCAGACTCTGCTGCCTTAATCTTGAAACTACAATGCTATTTCAGCTGGAGCTTTGGGGATTTCTCCAGATTTCCAAACCATGTAACATAAATTTAGTGGGATGATTTTTAAAGGGAAATAGATCCTGGAATGAGACCTCTGGGATAATGTTTCTTGGGGTCATTGTGTATTGCCCCAGGAAATATTTGAGGAGAACACAAGGGAAGACAGATGCAGACCTGGGTTTCAAGAAATGAGGACAGGAGCTGGAGGGGTCTATAAAGAAATCTTTATGAACTCGGGGTGGTGAACACACAATGTGATATGTAGATGCTGTATTACAGAATTTTACACTTAAAACCTATGTAATTTTATTAACCATTGTCACCCCAATACATTTTAAATAAATAAATAAAAACTAAAAGAAGAAACCTTTACGAAGAACTTTCCCTTTGGTTCTTTAGAGATATTTTCCATTTCCTCATATTTTTTAACCCCTCTACAAAAATTTTGATATGAAATACTACTGTATTAACTGAACAAAAAGAGAATGCTAGCAAACAGCAGAACCCATGGAGCACTGCCTTCATTTACACTACTTAAAATCATGACAAGATTTAATCAAAAAAATTTTTTTCTTTGGTAGGGAAAAAAGCACCCTATTTTTATCAGTGTAAGGCAGATATTTGCCATACATGTGTGTCCCAATCTTTTATTCATTATTGTCCCCTCCAAAAATACAGCTGAGGTTCCCATGACAATTGCTGGAGTCCATCTTCCTCCAAACTTTCTGAGTACCTGAAGGTTTTGCATTCATGGAGTCTGAAAGGCTGCTCTGATGACCAATCATTCCATTGGTCAGCTGTTCTGCAGCTACTGTCATCTGCGCCACTTCACCATATGCAGTACTTTCCCTCTCCCTGTAGTTTCCAAAGCACCACTCACACAAGGCCCTAGTGGAAGCAGACTTTGCCAATAGTTTAGGAAAAAGAGAGAGTGTAGTTCAGTGCTACATGAAAGGACCACATTAAATTTGATGTTTAATTGTTGCCCTCCTGTTCTCTGGCCATCCCCACTCATGGAATTTCTCATGAGCTGTCTCTCGTCTCATTCATATCTCATTCAAGTCTGTTCTGAAACAGACTATTTTGAAACAACCTCCCAATTTACAGAAGTAACAGGTATAAAACAAAGAGTTTATCTTCCTGAACTATTCGATAAGTTGACAATGTAATATCCCGTTACCCCCAAATACTTCAATGCATATTTTGTACAAAGACATCTCACTGTAAAAACATCAAAATCAGGAAATTAAGATTGATACTCTACTACCATCTAATCCTCAGACGTTAGCCAAGTTTTTATTAACTGTCCCAATAATGACCTTAGAGCACAAGGATCCAACTTAGAATCACAAGTTGCATTTAGTTATCATGTCTCCTTAGTCTTTTCCAATCTGGAATAATGCCTCATTCTTTCTTTGAGTTCTCTTTTTAATTTATTTATTTTTAAATTTTCAATTACAGTTGACATTCAATATTTTTAATATTAATTTTAGGTGTATGGCATAGTGGCTAGACATTTATATAATTTAAGAAGTAATCACCCTGTCTAATCTAGTACTCACCTGGCATTATACATGGTTATTACCATATTATTGACTATATTCCCTACACTTTACATCCCCATGACTATTTTGTAACTACCAATTTGTACTTTTTTAATCCCTTCACCTTTTTTACCCTGCCACCCAAACCTCCTCCCCCCTCCATCTGGTAACCATCGAAATGTTCTCTGTATCGTAAGTTTCTTTCTGTTTTGTTAATCTTGTTCTTTAGATTCTACATACAAGTGAAATCACATTGCATCTGTCTTTCTCTGTCTGACACTCCACTCAGCATAATACCCTCCAGATCCATCCATGCCACTGCAAATGGCGAGAACCCATTCCCTTCCATGGCCGAGCAATATTCCATTGTATGTATGTACCACCTACTCTTTATCCACTCATCCATTGATGGACACCCAGGCTGCCTCCAGATCTTGGCCATTGTAAACAATGCTGCAATGAACACATGGATGCACACGTCCCCTTGAAGTAGCACTTTCGGTTTCTTCGGATAATTACCCAGAAGTGGGATTACTGGGTCCTTCTTTGTCACTTGTTATATAGCCTTTGTTTTAAGGTCTATTTTGTCTGGTGTAAGTATTGTTACTCCAGCTTTTTTGTTTGTTTCTATTTTCATGAAATATCTTTTTTCATCTGTTTACTTTCAGTCTGTGTGTGTCTTTGGATCTAAAGTGAGTCTCTTATAAGCAGCATATGTGAGGGTCTTGTGTTCTTATACGATCAGCCACCCTATCTCTTGATGGGCGCATATAATCCATTTACATTTAAAGTAATTATTGATAGATATGTAGTTGTTGTCATTTCATTATTCATATTTTTTAATCTTTTGTTTTTTCATCTTAAAGTAATTCCTCTAAGATTCCTTGTAATACAGGTTTGGTGTATTACACCAAAGTGATGAACTTCTTTATCTTTTTCTTGTCTGGGAAGATTTTTTATCTGTCGTTCAATTCTAAATGAAAGCTTTGCTGGGTAGAGTAATCTTGGTAGTAGGTCCTTACTTTCCGTCACTTTGAATATTTTGTGCCAGTCTCTTCTGACCTGCAAAAATTCTGTTGAGAAATTGGCTGACAGTCATATGGATGCTTCCTTGTAGGCAACTAACTGTTTTTCTCTTGCTACTTTTAAGAGTCTTTCTTTGTCTTTAATCTTTAGCATTTTAATTATCCTGTTTCTTGGTATGGACCTATTTGGGTTCATCTTGTTTGGGATTCTGCACTTCCTGGGCTTATATGTCTATTTCTTTTGCCTGGTTAGGGAAGTTTTTTGTCATTATTTCTTCAAATGGGTTTTTAATTCCTTGCTCTCTCTTTTCTTCTTCTGGTACCCCTATGATGTGAATGTTGATATGTTTGATGTTGTCCCAGAGGCCCCTTAATTAAACTATCCCCATTTTTAAGATTCTTTTCTTTCTTTGCTGTTCTTTTTGGGTGTTTTCTACTACCTTATGTTTTAAATCATTGATTCATTCCTCTGCTTCATCTAATCTATTGTTGATTCCTTCTAATACAGTCTTCATTTCAGTTATTGTATTCTTTATTTCTGACTAGATCTTTTTTATGTTTTCTATCTTCATTTTTATGTTTCTTATCTCTTTGTTGAAGTTCTTCCTGAGATCACTGAACATGATTATAACCAATGTTTTGAACTCTGTATCTGGTAGATTGCTTGTCTCTATTTTGTTTAGTTATTTTTCTGGAGCTTTGTTCTGTTCTCTCATTTGGGACATGTTTCTTTGTCTCTCCATTTTGGCTGCCTCCTTGTGTTTGTTTCTATGTATCAGGTAGATAAAAATGTTTCCCTAGACCTGCAGCAGAATTCAAAGGGATATAAGAAGTTTGGTGCTTTGGCTTTTTACCAACCAAAACAAAGTTGTTTCAATATTTTAACAGTCAGCATTACTTTAGTAGTGTGTGTTGGCTTCATAGCAGTCTTACATTTTCCCTAAGGAAACTTTTTAATGCAACCATTGATTAATGATAATAAAGAAAAAATGCACGATAATGAAAATTAACGGCTACATGCAATGTGGATGAATCTCACAAACATGGAATTGAAAGAAAAAAAGACATGAAAGAATACATACACTAAGATTTCATTCATATAAAGTGTTTAATAAGTAAAACTAAACTACTTACAGAAGAGCATCAAGCATAAAGAAATGCAAGAAAATTATTATTAAAATTGTGAAGAAGGATGGGTATAGAAAGGATTCTGGGAGTGTCCCTTATAATAATGTGTTATCTCATCTGTTTAAGTGTATGTTTAGTAAATTTTTATCCTTTATCTTATATTTTGTAATTAAAGGAAAAAAGTAAACAAAAATTGTCTCCACATAATGGCTGGGAGCATTGGGTGTTTGCAGCTGAAATGTGATAGCACAAGTGACTGGTGAACTTAGGGCAAAGAGCTGTGGATTACAGCAACCAAAGGAAAGTGATTGGATACTAAAAGATCAGGACTGGTATTTATACAATGATGGTTCATTACAGGACACAGAGCACCCTGGATAGAAGTGGAAGAACCTCTCAAATCAGAGAGAAATTTCCAAGGAGAGTTTCCCAAGAAAAATGAGCACCAAGGGCAAAGTAAGCAAATGTACTATTTCTTTATTCAATTCTTCTTTTTCTTCTTGTTTTTTTCTCTCTATGTATACATTTGCTAAAAGAAGCTTTCTTCGGGTATTATTTTCAGAAGGTATCAATTTAAAGTTGATCAAAAGGGTTACCCATGCTAGAAATTATGAATAATAGAAGAATATGGAAAATATTCATAGTATATTAATAAGTAGAAAACAGCAGATTGCAAAATATCACATAGACTATGATCCCATTTGGGGATACTCAAGGGATTGACCTTATAAAATTACATGTGATAAAATTACAAGTGTGAGTTGTATTTCTTTTGTTTTTATTTGTATTTTGAAACTCCCCATGATTAATACCACTGAATTTATAAATAAGACTAATGATATTTTAAAATATAGTTCACAATTGCATAACAACTATCAAAAAATACGTATTCTTTCTCTCTCTCTGTCTCCCTCTCTCTTCCTCTCTCCCTCTCTGTTCCCCAGGTTATTAAATGCAAAGCAGCCATCGCCTGGGAAGTAGGCAAGCCCCTTTGCATAGAAGAGATTGAGGTAGCTCCCCCCAAGGCTCACGAAGTTCGAATTCAGGTGAGTGGAGACTTTCCCTTGACAGGACAGACAAGGCAGTGAGTGCAGACATGGCTTCAATTAGGTCAAGCCTATGTGGTGTGCCTGAGAAGCCCGGGCTTTTTCAGTATGGGGAAATGATATTTTCAGGTTCAGATCAAAACAGGCCCATCCCCAGGAGAAGTAGATTATTATTCATTGATCAGCAGTTATTGATAATGGGCTTAAAATTTAACTTAACATTATCTTAACATGAATTATCTTAACATAAATTATCTTAACATTAATCATTAATCCTAAGAATCAGAAGAAAGAATTGAATTCACTTTGGATTCAAATTGGTTATGTTTTCTTTTTGTCTACCATTTGCCAGTTGGAAAGTGTTATTAAAAGAAAGATAGTGAATTTGGTTCAAAACAAGGGAGTGGAAAAACGGAAGTGCTACCCTGAACAGCATAGGGTCTTGGATGCCCAGAGGAAGGGACAGGAGTGGGTTAGCAGGGAGAAGAGACCGCTGCTAACCCACTCCTCGTAGAGAGATCATAGATGGCAATTTCAGACAATTTCTCCGTTTTCCCCACAGCTGCCAGGCTTTATGTTTTCCCTCCAGACTGCCACAGTAAGAGTTCATCCATGAGCATGAATGCGATAGCCCCACGAGAGGAATCTTGAATAATAATACAGTAATTAATTTAGACAATCCTTTATTTGATATCTCACTTTTAACTATAAAAAATTTTTTTAACCTCTATTTCATTTCATTTCATTTCAACAATAGTGGAACAAGACCTAGTAACCTGTGTTGCCTCCATCACTTCTGCCTATTAAACTTGTTTAACTTTTCCCTATTCCCTTTGATCTCTCCTCTCCTGGAGACAGTAACTGCCAATTATATCTCTTTTTATGATTTTCCAATGACAGTAAGAGGTGGAAAAAACAAAGAGCAAAAGAGTATATCCTAACATATTTTTATTTAAAATATTTATTTCAAAATATAGTTCTTTTATTGAGCTCAAAAAGTGTTGTCAAGTTTCAAGGTGATATTGAGCCTAAAATTATCCAACTAAAAACCCAATTTTATAGTAACACAACTCAAGTATGTGGTTACTTTGTAGATAATCGCTACTGCCCTGTGCCATACTGACGCCCATGTTATCCACCCTAAATTTACGGAGCCTATGTTCCCCGTGCTCCTTGGCCATGAGGCTGCAGGAATTGTGGAAAGTGTTGGACCAGGAGTGACCAACGTCAAACCAGGTATTTTATTTTCTGATTCCAATTAAATGGAAATGTCAGGATATTTCTGGTATAATTCCTGACACAGTCCTGGCTTTGCATGCTACAACTGATCTCTGTTTACATAAGGGAACCATCTTTTCCAAGCAAAATTGAGATACACCATCTATCACAATCTAACAATGAGACAGAATATTTGAAATCAGAATTGTCTAATAAAATCTGGGGAATACGGTCACTTTATTTACATATAGTACTGAGAAATTGTCCTATGAAGCAAAACTACAAAGTTAGCTTAAACTGAAGCTTTGACGCTTCCGTGGAGGCACAAATGACAACCTATATCAAACTTCTTTAAATAAAATAGAAAACTAATTTAATATTATAAGAATTTAAAGAATGAGATCTCTCGGTAAATTAAATGAGAAATATTATACATATGTCAATGTTAGCTTAAGTGTCATTTTGGAAGTTTGAAAGATAAAAATAATATGTTAATGAAACATGCCAATAGCTTAAATTACTTACTTCATATTTCATAACAGATCCACCAAATACCAGAATAATGTAATCCTCACTTGTCAGGCAGGATGAACCATTTCATTCTTTTCTCCTTTGATGCTCCAAACCAAGAAGTTTATTTGGTATCTTTCCATTCCAAACAAGATCACAAAAACCAATTGCTCCCAAAAGTTTTGCATCCATGAAGGAGTCTGGCCAACGTAGTCCCAGCTCTACCACTGACTGTGTGACCTTTGCAAGTTAAGTCACTTTTCTGTGACTCAGATTTCTGCTTTCTAAAGTGGGGACAATAATAGTACCCATTTCAAAGGGTTACTCTGAGAATTAAATGAGGCAATACAAGTAAGCAGCTAGAATGGTATCAGGCACATACTAAATGTTGAACAAATGTTAATTATTATTGGACCCTGGTAAACTGAATAAAAAGTAGAATACTAGAATTTCAGAGTAAAACAAATGGTGAAACATGGAGATGATATAACGTTTACTCTCCATATCTAGCCTGTTACTGTCCATCACCTCTCCTATTATGTGAGAGTGTTCTATTCCATACAGTTATTTAGAAACGCCATAAATAATAGCCATAATGCAGAAAGTTTTGCAATGACAGCAGAGTCTCAGACAGAACTCTTCATCTGATGGTATGAATACAGATTTGTTATTTGATTGCCAGCAGAGAAACAAAGAAAAATAAAAAAGACAGTATATGCAATAACTTGGGGGAATCAGGGATTTTGTAGAGTAACAAAATGTTGTAGCCACCTATACTTTCTGCTGAACATAAAATGTATACCATAAAGAATGGTGTTTTCCACCAATTCATCTGGTAGAAACTGTTTATAAGGAACATCTTAGACACGATCCAACATATGACCTTTCTTTGCAGGTGACAAAGTAATTCCACTCTACACACCTCAATGTAGAAAATGCAAGTTCTGTCTGAGTCCACGCACGAATTTTTGTGCAAAACTCCGGTAAGCTCTATACACTGCTAGTAAGAGTATAAATTGGTACAAATATTTTGGGCAGTACATTGGCAATACCTAAGAGGAGTAGAAGAGGTGCATATTTTCTACCCACCAATTCCACTCTTAGAAACTGTTGCAAAACCACCCAAGGACACATGTGCTAGAATGTTCGTTACAACATTGTTTCTAAAAGCAAACAATTGAAAACAGCACACTTGTCCATCAATAAGAGACTAGATTAACAAATTGTTATGTAGCAACACAATGGAGCGCTATGTAATAATGAAAATGGTGAAACTTGATCTACACGTATTGACATAGAATACAGTAATCCCCCTGATCCATGGTTTCACTTTCCAGTGTTTCAGTTACCCATGGTCAACTGCGGTCTGAAGACACTAAATGGAAAATTCTAGAAATAAACAATTCATAATTTTAAATTGCACACCTTTCTGAGCAGTGGGATGAAATCCACAACATCCCACCCAGAACGTGAATCACCAATTTGTCCAGCGTCTCCACACTGTATAAGCTAACCTCCCATTAGTCACTTAGCAGCCGTCTGTTACTGGATCACTATCATGGCATCTCAGTGCTTCTGTTCAAATAAGAACCCCAACGTGCCAGAATAGTGATGCTGGCAATTCAGATATGCGAAAGAGAAGCCTTAAGTGCTTCCTGTAAGTGAAAAGGTATATGTATGTACAGGAAAAAAAAGCATAGTTTATATAGGGTTTGGTATGATCCAAGGTTTCAGGCACCAACTGGGCACCTTGGAACATACCCTGTGGGGATAAGGGGGAACCACTGTGATCTCACACAAATAATGTTGAGGGAAAGAAGCAAGTCGCTGACAGGTATATTTAGTAAGGTGTCATATACAAAAATAATACCATATATTGCTTACGGTCACATGTGTAAAGGTATAAATATATCACTGGAATGATAAATGCCAAATTCAGAATAGTAGGTATTTCTGCAGAAGATGAGAGGAGAATGCAATGAGGCACAGTAAAGTAATTCATTCCAATGCCACATTGATATAAGTCTTGGAACTTAATTTTGAATCTAGGCAATATGGCTTCAGAGTCCAAAATCTTAATCACCTTATTCTTTACTTTAATGAGACTATAGAAAGATTTGTCCTTAATGCTAATTGAAACTAATTTTTGTATTACTCTTACATCTTTTGCTGTGTCTCAGTTTCCTCATCTGTAAAATAGGAATAACAATAATGCCTGCTTTACAGGGTTGTTGTAGATATTCAGAGAATTAATACATCCTTTTGCAAACCTTTAATGAAATAACAGGCTTTGACAAGGACCATCAATTCTTTCTAACAAAACAGAGATTAAGTATTATGTGTCTCCAGATGAAAACAATGCAGCAACAACCTTTGAAGTACTTCTACAAAGATAAAAAACCTAAATCAGATCAAACATATAGATCAAAAATAGTAGTTTAGAGGAAATACAGGGATGGAGAAACGTTAAACCAGATTATAGTGATGTAATCAGAAAAATCCAGAATGAGGAAAACTCTACAGGACAAATAACTGTTTCTTCAACAAATCAATTGTAAGGAAAAAAACAAAGGGGAAGGTGAGAACCTATAAATTAAAAGAGGCTTAAGAGACATATCAACCAAATGTAATGTGTGGACCTATAAGAATCTTTCTTTTTCAGGGATACATACTGAAATATTTACAATGAAATAGTGATGTCTGGGATTTACTTCAAAATAGTGCAAAATGTGGGGAGGATAAGTGGTGGTGTGGGGGCTGAGGGTAGCTAATAGATGAAACTAGATCAGCCATGAGCTAATAATTGCTGAAGCTGGGAGGTGGTTACATTGAGATTCATTATGTTATTCTTTCTACATTTATATATATCTGAGTTGTTCATAATAAAAATTTTTTTAATTAATACATGTAAAACCCTTAAAAGAGTTTCTGGCACATAAAAAGTATTCAATTAAAAGTTTATTATTATCATCATTATTATCTTTAGACTACTTCTATTTATTATATTATGTATGATATTATATGTTATATTTATATTATATATTATATTATATATTATATTTATATATTATTTATGTTACATATTTATTATATTATATGTGTATTATATAATGTTAACATATTATTTATATAGCATAAATAAATATATAATGTATTATATTGTATATTATATTTGTTTATGTATAATTACTTAACCAAAAAGTCTCAAGTCATTTTCTCAATATTTCCATCTCATAAAATTGTCATAACAAATATTTAATGCCTAACATTTTTTTCAAGAAAGTAATCAGTGGTCCATTTATGTTCTTTTTTTTGTATCTTGTTTTAAAAATTCTCTAGTAAAGTCAAAAATCTTATTGCTGATCAAGAAGTAATGGATGACAAAACCAGCAGGTTTACCTGCAAAGGAAAATCAGTTTACCATTTCATGGGGACAAGTACCTTCACTCAGTACACTGTAGTATCAGATATTAACGTTGCCAAACTAGATGATGATGCAAATTTAGAGAAAGTTTGTTTGCTTGGATGTGGATTTTCAACTGGCTATGGAGCTGCAATCAATACTGCCAAGGTAAAATGCCAAGGTTATATAAAATAGAAGTTACTAGGAGGCAATGTGATAAAGCAGCTAGAATTATCTTCAAACCCTGGCTCTTTCCTTTATTACCTCTGTGATTTTAGGCAAGTTATTTAACCTCTCTACTCCTACTTCTCTCTAAGAATATCTATTACAAATTGGTGCGAGAATAATTAAATCATATCACATATGTAAGACATCTGGCCCAGCAGCAGGCATATAGTTAGCACCCAGTTCAAGTTAACATTCCTACACTAGTATGTTATATGACAGACCCTCCCTAATTTAAACACAGCCTGCTTAAATATATCCCCTAAATATAAATCTTCATCCTGGGACAGCAGACCCAGCCAAGAGACAATAGAAACTACAGAGACCCCCACCCATCTCCATATAACCCCTCCTGCTTTTTCCCCCCGATGCTACAAATTCCTCTCCCTGAATGGTAGTAATTCAGCTCTGCTTCTCATCCTACCCCTTTTGTGGCTCCAGGGGAGGGTCTCAGGTGAGGAAAGGAGAAGGACAGCAGTTTGGTGTAGCTGTAGTACTGGAGAAATCTTGGAGATGAAGTTGGAAGGTAACCTGTCAGATAATGAAAATCCTCCAATGCCATGAAAGGAAATTTGGACCTCATCCCACTTAAATGAATTGATAATTTGGGATGATTGAGTGAGTTAATTCACATTTAGAGAAACATTAGTGGTCATTAAAAACCAACTGTAATATTAACACAATCAAATAAGCCCAATTAGAAACGTGGACATCAAATTACCTGTGACATATTAAAAAAGGAAAACAATAAACCCTTTAAAATGTGTGAGTCTTAGAATTTTATTCTGATAACACTAAAAAGAAAAGCAAACAAGGAAATGATTTTCATGTGGGCTTGTTCCGTATGAACTGATAATCCTCATGGCCCTCAGATGATTCCCCAAATTTAGTCAGTAATTCATCCATGTTCACATTGATAGATTTCCCCAAGTGGCTATATCATTTAGTCTTATGACAGGCAGTCCTTTATTTATATGTTCCTGCCCCCCACCTCACTCTGTCCCTTAAAAAAAAAAAGTGGGGGCAAGCCGAGTGGCTTAGTTGGTTAAGAGAATGCGCTCTTCTCAACAAGGTTGCTGGTTCAACTCCCGCATGGGATGGTGGCTACACCCACCTGCAACTGAGATTGAACACGGCACCTTGAGCTGAGCGGCTGCAAGCTGCTGACGGGTGGCCAGATGGCAACTGGACTTGGAGCTGAGCTAGCTGCACCAGCCATAACTAAGACTGAAGGACAACAACTTGGCTGTTCCCCTTCCCCAATTTCCCAATTAAAAAAAAAAAAAAGTGGAACCAGCTGTTTTTCAATTTTATGATTTTTCTGCCTGTAGGTCACCCCTGGTTCTACTTGTGCTGTCTTTGGCCTGGGAGGTGTCGGTCTTTCTGCTGTGATAGGTTGTAAAGCAGCAGGAGCTTCCAGAATCATAGCTGTTGACATCAACAGTGAGAAGTTTACAAAAGCCAAAGCCCTTGGAGCCACTGACTGCCTCAATCCTAGAGACCTACGTAAACCTGTCCAGGAGGTTATAGCTGAAATGACCGATGGAGGTGTGGATTTTGCCATTGAATGTGCAGGTGGATCTGAAGCCATGGTATGTATGTTTTTTTAATAATAGTATTTAATAAATAATATTTATTAATATTAATAAACATTGACAGTATATATTAATATATTTATTCATTTTATATTTAATATTGTATATTTGTATATGTATAGAAATTATGTTTTTATAATAAGTAATGTTTATTAATAATATTATGTATTATGTGGTATATGGTGATTGATATTTAATAATAAATATTACTGATTACTACTTAATATTAATGTTATTAATATTTTTGTATATTCTTCCACATGAATCTCAGCAACAAATTAAGAGAACACTTAGAAATGAAAATTATAAAAGAATTGTGCATACAAGAAGTAAGCAAAAAAGTAAGAAAAGAAAAGGTAGATATAAAGAAGGGAGTAAGAGAAGGTGACTGGTGGCACCCTAGCAACCAGGGGTACCCACTCCCATCTAAAAATAGAATGGGGAGAGGTCAGCAACCTACAATCAATCCAGTTCTGTCTGTTAGATCTCAATGAGTTACAAAATTAGGTACACATTTGGAATTTTCAATATATTAAACACACTCACACACACACACTGCAAAATTACACAGTAAATCTTTTTCTCCCAATTTTCCATCATTCAATTTTCCATCATTCAGATTTCTTCACCTCGCAGGATGGGCTACATACATACTTTGTAGGGCCCTTCTGAGAAGACCCTGGGGGGCTGCACTGGCGGCACGCCCATGAAGCCAGCCCTGTTTCTTTTAAATACCTTTTTTAATGAAGCTCAAAATTTTATTGAATTTTTTATCTAAAACAAAATCCTCAAAGCGTGATCTGCGAGTATAATACTATGACCTTATGAGCTTGATGCCCATTATCTCACATACAAAGTATAAATTTTCCCTGAAATGCAGTACATGTCCACTGGAAGCATGTTCTACTTTTCTACTTACTCAGCTACTCTTTTGTGTTTGATCTTCCAGAGAGCAGCTCTGGAGTGCACAACAGTAGGCTGGGGGTTATGTACTCTCGTTGGAGCAGCCGTTGATGACCAAGAATTGAATGTTTCTCTCACGGACGTACTAACCGGCCGTACTATCAATGGAACATTATTTGGTGGTCAGTTTTGTTTTGGTTTTTTTCTTTTAATTTTCTCCCTAGTAGAACTCAAAGTCTTATAATAAAGATTATTAAAAAGGAAAGGCAAATAATTTGTTGTTTAAATAGTGAGTGCCTAGAACACATCTAAAGACTACATAAAAACAATTCTATTAATTAATTACTTGAAACTAAAGGTTGTATAGGAGGATAACTACAATTTGCAAACTGAAGTTCAATTTGCATTACAATGAACTAACACAGAGGAACAGAAGGCAGACTTTGACCAAACTGAGATCATTTCTTTTCAAAAAATAGAAAATAATCTTGAATTTTTCTTATGAAAAAAAATGCTAAAGTAGATAAAAGTATAGAAAATTAAAGATGGGAGGGGGTTTCATCTATGTGGAGTAAGCCAAATCTGACCAAATAATTTCATTTATTCAACCAATACTGATTAAACTACCTCTTCATGGCAAACACCATGTCTTTATTTGGAATTTTGGCCAAATTACAGGTTGGAAAGGCTTAGATTCTATCCCAAAGCTGCTTACTGACTACAAGAATAAGAAATTCAATCTGGATGCACTGGTGACCCATACACTGCCTTTTGACAAAATCAATGAGGCTTTTGACCTAATGTATCAAGGAAAAAGGTAAATTACCAAACAGATGGGTAAGTGGTTTGAAAAACTTTTATGATGATTCTATTTTTATTTGATGTTAAAAACTAAGCACTTTGTCTTTTCTGACACTTTCCACATCATCAGATGTACTACATGTGATGTGCTGAAAAGATTAAATAGTGGCCATTTGGGTAGGAGGGAGGAGGGGAAGCTCTGTTTCCATAACGTACACTGCCATGCACTGTTCCAACACACAGCAGTCATATAAATTGACACATTTTCCCTTTCACTAACAACCATTAACTTACTTGGGGTTGCTCCCTAGAAAGAGACGTTTCTATAGTGTAATGTGAGGTCCCTCTAGTTACAATACAGCCCTGGCCCTGGAATTATTATGTTAGGCAATTTAACCAAAAGTGCCCACCGCAAGCCCTTCTTTATCAGAATCAGGTGAAAACCATAGAGATGTGAGCAGTTAAGTGGCGGGCATCAAATACTTAAAGGCTGCCCCAGCTCTCTCATTCTCTTTCTTTGTCAAAGGTCTCCTGTAGGATACACCTGATCCACAATTTTAGCTCGATGATGCTCCCTTGGCATGGGCCCTGAGAACTGATTTATAGAAATGTCCCCACTGGGGTATCCCTAGCAGCTGGGGAGTGGGTAAGGCTAGGATCTTCAAGCACAGCCTTGATCAATAGAAGCAAAGGGTACAACACCAGGAACAATGTCACGTAGAGGAAATGCAGGACAAAAAAAAAAAAAAGCAAAGAAAAAAGAAGACTTTACAAAAGAGAGGGGAGAAAAGGCCTAAAGTTAAGTGACAGAAGTTTGATACAGAGGAGGAATGTTACAAAACAAGAAAATAAGTCTATGACACCATGGTTGGAAAGGTATAGGACCCAGGCTATTTTATGGGGGAAGAAACCTAAGAAAATGCCCCTACTGATATTTGTTCCTAATTTGGAAACATATTAGCTACAATGTAACAAGAAGTTCAATAAAAATAAAATAAATAAACATTATTTTTAAGCTACGCTAAGTAACTTAATGCATAAGCCCCACAATATCTTGCAACATCTCAAAATCCCCATAAGGAGTATTCCTCAAGTGAGGAGTTGGGTTGGGGTTCGGGGCCTTAGACCCTGGAGCTCATAGCTTCTCCACCACTACTCCTTTTCTCATAGAGTTTCATTCATGGAATACACCCAAGGAATGCTAAGTGGCAGCCAAATGGAAAACATTGCATTACTTTATTAATAACTGGGCAAGTCTCCCATACTCTTAAGGTGGCAAAGTGGAGGCCTAGGGCAAACACCTGAATGAAGCCTCCTACACCCCCTCTGGCTCACTGACTGCCACACAGATGGAAAAGGCAAAGGATGGGCCACCCCAGGTGTGTTTACCATATGGCTACAGGAAACACAATTGAGGACAGTCTCTCCTGCCATACCAACTGCATAGAAGCAAGGAAGTGGAGGAGAGGGGACAGGATATAGTGATCAAATGGCCTGTAAAGGTACAGTGACCCTTACTCATGGTAAGGAAAGGACACAGACATTCTCCCTCCACAGGGAGGTGTAGCTTCCAGTACCTGAGTGAAGAAAACATTTATGCATGGCAACCTACTGACGCCAGAGGCTCCACAGCTCCAGCAGTAAGGTCTGAGATAAGGAATTCTCTGTCCTTGAGGCTTATCCCCCTCTTTGCTTCTGCATGTGGAATAAGTTATCCAAAAGTAGGAATATTTGGGTTCTCAGAAAGTAGCATCCCAGCATGCCAACCACTCCCTCTTTTGATGCCCAATTTTCCCTAGGCTACAGAAGAGCCAAGAGCAGTGATCACTCCAAGATGAAAATCTCACGACAATCTTGGCATGCTCTACTTCTCTACAGCTCGGCTGGGCCAAAAGGACTCAGGGACAAGCGAGGGTCCTCAATTTCCAGCCAACTTATTGACATTGTATATAAAGTATTATTACTGTCATGAATGAAAGAGGGTGACAAGACAAATGAAATTAGGCTTAGCAAATTGTGTTCCTATAAAGAAAGATGAACTCGAATCCTGAAATGCAAAAACAAAAATTATTTGTGGATTTTGGTTAAATTTATCATGAAAAGTATACTGACTATTGTTTTCTATTTATTAACAGCATTCGAACAATCTTGCTCTTTTGAAGATGCCAGGCACAATTTGGAATACTTTCTGACCAAATCTGAACCTGTCCAGTTACTTTAAACCTGCTATGATGAACCAAGGATCACAGTGAATTTAAACAAATATTTACAGTTAACATCTCAACATCAAATTGCTATTAAAAATTACAGCATTTGTATCCATAAAATATATTAATATTTCCTATGTTAAATAACTGTGATAACTAATGTGTTTATTAATAGAATCATATGATGTTTGGGAGTTGTTTAAAACTAGTTCTACAGAAGTGGAAGTGATGATGAAAAGATAATAAAAAAATTTGATTGGCTATATGTTCACAATTTTTTAGGTCAGGTGATAAATATATGGGATTTTAGCATACTATCTATTTTTGTATACGTTTAAATTTTTCCATAATAAAACAAATTTTACTATTATAGAAAAAAATCACTATTACATATATATTACATATATATAAGATACACATATATCTTTAAAATATATACACATCATATATACATATATATAATGCTGTTATGTAATTTCTGAGTTCCAATAAGGTATAAGCTATTCTTCTTTAATAAACTACTAAATAATTTCTTTTCTTTTTTTTTTAAGATTTTTACTGGGGAATTGGGGGATGGGAACAGCGCTGGGGAATTGGGGGATGGGAACAGACAAGTTGCTGTCATTTTGTTCTTCAGTCTAGTTGTGGAGGACGTTGCTTCACTGGCCCAAGTTGCACCATCATTGCGCTCTTCCCAGGCGAGGCAGATCAGTCGCCGGCTTCTGGACGGCCGCTCACTGCGGCTGCTGGCTACACACGGTAGCCCATGGCAACCCACTGCCACAGGGTCTGCAGCCTACGCTGTCTCCGGTGACTCACGGCAGCCCAGCTCCAGGTTGAGCTGTTGTTCAGCATCTTAGCTGTAGAGGGCAGTGTCACTGGCCCTCATATGTGGGATCCAAACCAGGGACCTCTGGTGTCCCAAGCCAGTTCTTAACCACTGTGCCACTCGGTCGGCCCAATAATTTCATTTTAACAACTGTTAATTTCTTTTCTCTTAGCCCCACTTTACCACTATGAACTATAATCACAAGTAGTAGGATATCAAAAGCTATATATACTCGTATGTGAATATGTACATAATTGAAGATTTTTAAAAAGAAAAACATCTATACCCTCAAATTTCCATCTTTATTAAATATTTACTCTTTTCATCTTTGATAATTATTGCAACATATAATGTTTAGAGCTTTACAGAGTTTAATTTGCACTATGTAATCTATTTTCTAGTCAACTAAAAATGAGGAAAAGCAATGTACTTATAACAAAGTAAATCAGCAATCTGATAGTAACAGACAATAAGATTTATATGAAAACCAAAATGAGAGTTTTCAAACTATGAAATTCATAGATGCTACATGAACAGTTTAAGGATAAAACAGATAATAATTTGGATCAGAATAACAAAGAGTAGCCCTTACCTTAGCATAATTCCTGAAACTTACCAGTTTTTAAAAAATATGTTTACCACATGTTGACCTCTAAAAGAAGATAAACTTCTCTGAAAGCTTTGGCTGAAGAGGGTACTAATAACTCAAAGTGGAAATTTATATTCCTGCTCATTTAAGATCCTCTCTCATTAGAAATGGAAGCCAATTAATCTGTCTGTAAATGTTTCCTTTATTGGCATTGTGGGACCCATCCCACAGGTGGTTGGCCTTTCTCATGCTTTTCCCTATATGCATGTTATGTTCTTCCTCTTCATGTCCTCTCCTCCTCTCCTTGGTTTCCTCAGTCCTACCCAGGCCCAGCTTGAGACCCACCTCCTTTTCAGATCTTGGCAGTCACAAAGCTTTTTTCCTTCCCTGATCTCCTTCGGCTCTGAGTATCTTTGTGGAAATCTTAACACAATGCTGTGTCCACAAAACTGGAATGGAACTGGACCCCTCCAAATGGGGGGTGAGGGGAAACAGTATTTTAAAGGTTTGAATTCTCTAACATAATAAGATATACAGGTCTGTTTATTTATTTATTTATTTTTTGGTCTGAAATCACTACACGTTATTTAAGAATGCCAGTTAATAGGGCAAACAATATTTGAATTTAGAAGACAATACAATCACAGTATATTCTTCTGAGAAGAAAAATAAATGCATTTTTAAAATATAGTCACTGTCCAACATTGATGGACCTAGAGGGTGTTATGCAAAGTGAAGTAAATCAGACTGAGAAAGACAAATATCATATGATTTCACTTATACGTGGAATCTAAGGAACAAAATAAATGATCAACAAAACAGAACAGACTCATACATACAGAGAACAGTTATAATTGCCAGAGGAAAGGGGGCTGGGGGAGCTGTGTGAAAAAGGTGAAGGGATTAAGAAATACAAATTGGTAGTTACAAAATAGTTACAAGGATACAAAGTACAAAGTATAGAAAATATAGCCAGTTATGTTGCAAAACTATGTATAGAGCCAGGTGGATAGTAGACTAATCAGAAGAATCACTGCATAAATTATGTAAATGTATAACCACTATGATGTGGACCTGAAACTAATATAATATTGTATGTCAACTGTAAATGAAAAAAGTAAATAAATAATTTTTTAAAAAGATATAGTCACTGTCTCTTCAATTATCTTAGTATCATTTTCTAAATGCTACTATAGTGCCCTCTGGTGTTTTTTATTTAACATTTTTCCATCTCCTAGATCCTGTTTGAGAAAAAGAATTCGAGAGAATAACAACTTTCATTTACGTCATAGTTGACATTTTTAAAAGTACTTTCATGTGCAGTATTTTGTCTGATTCGCCAAAATTTTCACTTGACCTTTGCTTCTTGATTTTTCATCTTCTCTGAGCGCCTGCAGATAGCAGGCCTCCCAGCAATGCACCCTGTGAGGTAGGCAGGGCAGAGTTTATTAACCTCAGTAAGTAAATCTTGTGTTACAGGGAAAACAGACACTATTTTTCTGGCTTTCTTATGAGAAAATCTTGAAGATTATCTTAAGAATTGATGGCAACAGAAGTGTTCTTATTCTTAGGAGATACTTGCTGAAGAAGTTAAAGGATGAATTTCATTAAATTTGCAACTTCCTTTCATATGGCTCATCAAAAAATATGTGTGTGTGTGTGTGTGTGTGAGAGAGAGAGAGAGAGAGAGAGAGAGAGAGAGAGAGAGAGAGAATGTGACAAGAAATATTGTTACATCTAGATGAAGGACATAGAGGCGAAGATCATTGCCCTGATCTTCAAATTTCGAAATTATGCAACTTTTAAAATAAAAAGTTGGGTCACTAAAGATGGATGGTTTCCAATCCCAAATTCAATAAGTAAATCATTTTTACAGATATGACAGGTGGTCAGTCAACTTTCGGTTAAACACCTTCGCAGGCCGATTTTCTCCCTATGGTTAAAGGTAGGGTCTGCCTCCTTAGTTGGCTCTCTGGAGAGTCACAGAGTAAGTTCAGTCCCTCTGATAGTTAAGAACAGCTGGCATGCCCCCTTCTCTCCTCCAACCATGTCTTCTTTATTCCTAATTAAGTATCTCTAAGTATACGTAAACTCAATATTCCATTTGCAGTCTAAATAATATACCTATTCTGAATAATATACCAGTAAAAGCAGGCTGTATTTATATATTCTTTAGTCAGCCATCTCCATTGTTGGCAAATACTGAGCTGTGTGAAACCCCTAAATTTTTCCTCTTTGGAATGCTATTAAACCAGAATGCTCTTATTCTATCACTTTAACCCGAAGATAGACTATTTTTCTTCTCTGAAGTTTCAAAGTCTTTTGAGATGGAAATTATAAGTAAATAAGACATTTAATAATACAGAAGGGTGTGGCAGTTGAGAATCAGGAGGGATATCTCGGCTGTGGAGGTCCCCCCGGAGGGGCAGGAGATCCCAGCCCCACACTAGGCTCCTCAGCCCAGAGTACTGGTGCCGGGAGGAGGAGCATCCACAACATCTGGCTATGAAAAATGGTAGGGATTCTGACCATTCAGGTGGGTCAGAAGGCTGCAGGAAACCCAGATGTCCTCTTAAATGGCCAGCACACAGACTCACTTGCTCGCAAGCACTCACCTTGGGCCCCAGCGCAGGGACGGTGACTCAGGGGACTTGGAGATGTAAGGGGGGGGAGGGGAGAGGGGAGAGGATGGGCACACTGAGGTGTGTGGCTTCGGGGGGAGGACTGGAGGATAGTCAGCATTTTCCCCATGAGGGGTCCTCCTTCTTTGCAGACGGCAGGTGGGCACCACCTTGCCTTTGTTGAGCCCGCCCCCAACAGGCCAAATCTGAATCTGATTGGTCTGGTGAGCCCCACTGCTCCACCTGGCTGACTCAGCTAGGACCTCACCCCACCTAACTAAATCTGCAGTGAGAAAAAGTAAGAGGCTTGCTTCTTCTCCCTTCCATGCTCCATCTTTCCCACCACTTTCTAGCTACTGCTTCAAGCCCCCTCCATTGTCCAGCCTAGAAAGAAAGGGAAATTTGGAGGAAAAAAATTACACTTTACATGATCAGTACTGTTGCAATCAGATATTGATGCCCTTTGGGTGTAGCATCTTTTAAATACTGGATTCCTTCTTGACTGGGGAATGTCTGTGGTTTTCACAAAGAACCTCTGCCCTATTAGGTATCTTCTACCTGCAATTCCTTTATAGGAACAATTCTTTCCACAACCAGCCTTAAACTAAGACTTTGCCTTCAGCCCTTGGCTTCCACCAGTCACCTTATCTCTCCAGGTGGATCTCTTTGGTAAAGTTCCTCTTAAGATGATCTACAACTATACCCCTATCTTCCTGTGCTTCTATCTTCTGGGAGACTGTAGAGAACTGGTATAATTTTTTCCTTAAATAGTTGGTAAAATTCACCAGTGAACCCATCTGAGCCTGGTACTTTCTGTCTTAGAAGGTTAGTAATTTCTGATTCAATTTCTTTAATAAATATAGTCCTATTCAAATGGTCTATTTCTTCTTGTGTGAATTTTGGAATTATGTCTTCTGTCCATTTGGTCAGATTATCAAATTTGTGGGCACACAGTTGTTCATAATATTATCACTTTAATATCCTGTGGATGTCCATGGGATCTGTGTGCCTTTTTCATTTCTGATATTAGTACTGTGTATTCCTCTTTTTTTCTAAGTAGCCTCCTCTCCTTGGTTTCCTCAGTCTCCCCAGGTTTACCTTGAGACCCTTGATCTTTACAAAAAAACAGTTTTGGGTTTTGTTGATTTTCTCGATTGATTTCCTGTTTTTAATTTCATTCATTTCTACTCTAAATTTTCTTATTTCTTTTGTTCTGCTTACTTTAGATTTAATGTGCTTTTCTTTTTCTACTTTCCTAAGGTAGAAGGTTAGATGTTGATTTTAGATCTTTCTTCTTTACCAATATATGCATTCAATGCTATAAATTTCTCTGTAAGAACTACTTTCACTACATCCCACAAATTTTGTTGTGCTTTCATTTCCATTAGGGTCAAATAAATATTTTTTAATATCACTTGAGATTCCCTCTTTGACTCACGTGTTCTTTAGAAATGTGTGGTTTAATCTCATGTATTTTCTGATTTTCCACCTATC